GGAAATCCAATGGAAATGACATTCCAGTTTTAATGTTTTTTTTTAATTATTTTAGATACTTTAATATTTCAATTAAAAAGCAAACAAATCTTAAAAACTTATATAGATCCGTCTCCTCTACCTCAACCCAGAGTTAGCAGTTAAAACCTGACAGATTCGTCATATCTATATTGGGCATATTTGCAGTTTCTCTTTTGAAAGACATCAGTTTCTGTGTAAAGTCACTGTCAGGCCATTTCCTCAACATCCTTTGATAAATATCACAATGTCTCATGAGAGTTTTACCACTTTGCAACTTATATTCCAACATACTTTAGAGTGGTACCCTTTTTGCAGACATTTCCTGTAAAATGCAATAGAGCAGTGATTATCAAATAGTGGCCCACGGGCCAAATCCTGCCAACCGAGCCATCCAACCTGGGCCTCGACTAGATTCCAAAATTGTGGGGAAGAATAAATGTTGTGTAGTCTCCACTATTTTAGGGTAAAAATACCTTCAGTTTTATAATATATATATATATGTATAAACCCTGCTGCGTGTGGTCACAATCCCACTTCCTTCCACTGACGTTTCAATGCTGTACCTGTCATGAAAATTCATAGGCGTACGGCTGGAATGGCTTTTCAGAGCGTTACATAAGCTGTGAACACCTGTAATCACAGCATCACCTTCTGGTTACAGTCCTACGTGTAAAAATGTGAAGAAAAAAAAGGATTTCAGGTTCAAGCAGACACTGGTTGGGTGGATTAAGTGGGATGACAAAGACAAAGCTGTGAGTAATGACTGGGCAGCCTTATACATGTCTCACACACACACACACACACCTGTTTATTCATGATGTTATGTCGATTAGTAATTCAGAGATCATAATGTACCAAAGCAAAGTCAGGTATAAACATGATTCTTTGTGACGGCAGCTGAAAAAAGCTATGACTTCATGATTTTTAATTCAACAGCTGGAATCAGTAATGGGTCTGATTTTATTCTGATGAAACTGATGTAGTTATTTAGACGGCAGGTGTTGAACTGTTTGCCTGTTTTCTTATTTTACAACAACATAAAGTCCATAAAGAAGGTACAGTATAGATGATCTTAGGGATTACTTTCTTTTTTTCAGACATGAGACCAGCCAAAGAGAAAAATCTACTAAACTAAATCTGGTCTTATCTTTGATACAGTGAAGCTTGTTTTGCTTATGGAATTTTAGTAAGAGCGAGCCAAAGGAAGGACTACGAAGGAAGATACTGTCCTGCTTTAAGCTAATAATTTCTGCAATATTTGCTATAGGCCCATATGACTTCTTTTGTCTGCTGCAGCCAGAGAGAGTTTTGTATGACAGCTATTAGGGAAACGCAGGGAAGTACGTCCTCTCCTGTCAAGTTTAATAATCTACTTTCCACTAAATGAGATTGTAATAATAACAGTAATAATAATAATAAATACACAATAGGTCTTCAAATGAACACCAATAAAACCACAGAGCCCTAATCATTTCAACAGCACTGCTGTTTGTCCATTAAATGTCTTGTCAGCATCATTACGGTTGTGTCGTGAGGAAGGCAACTACAGTTCAACAAATTATTTTCACTCCGTTTGTTGGACGTCTGCTCACTATGCTGGTGTTTTCAATTTGATCCACACTGGCTCCAAGTTTCCAGTAACTAATACAACAGTCCAGGAGAATCAGAGCCATCACATCATCTCACAGCAGATAGAAAACCATCTCCCGCTGTAACTGTAAAGGACTATTTTGCATCAAATCCAGTGTAATTTTTTTCTTTTTTCCTGTCCCTTTGCTGAACCTTTTTTCTGAACTATGTGATATATTTCTGGTCCATCTTGGAGATTCTGCAGATACGTGATACTCTCACATGCAGGGATCCCAGTGGAGCTGGGTTACACGTCTGTGACCTTTGGATTTGTTGCACAACTGCAGCATAGTCTCTAGTCTCCAGGTTTTTTGTGCTTTATGTGTGACAGTGGGCTGAAGTCAGATCACAGTCAAGAACATTCAATGACAAATATTCTAATCAATCTCTGCAGTTCTTTGGTATTACCTAAATCTGTTCAAACTTGCAAACACCTCATCTATCGCCTGGAACCCAGGAGTCTGAGTAAGTGGATGTGGAGTCTGTGTCAGACGGCAGGGAATTACCTCAGCTCTGAATCATGTGGCTCTGTGCCTAGAGTGTTCACAATGCAATCAGCCAGCCATCTTTCTTACTCGTAACTGTCAGAGGGCCTCACACAAAGGCTGGGTGTGCGTGCGCACACACACACGCACACACACACGCACACACACACACACCATTGCAGGAGTCTTCAACATGTTCCTTAGCCTCACCATTGTCCCAGGTCAAATTTAGTTTGCGGTCTGACATTACCAGTTGCATCTTAGCAGAAAACATTGAAATTACACTTCAATTTACAGTAATTACTTAATTGTTTTGGACAGACAATAAACCAGAAACTCTTGTTCACAAAGGTACAAACTTGACAGCCACAAAAAGCAAACAACAACATGCATATCCATTTTAAACAGACGTGTCTGTAAAGTCACAACATATCCTCAAAGTATCCACTGTTGTTTAAGTGACAAACATCTGGTTCAAGTGCTGATATTGCTGCACAGCTGAAATTAGACCAGCTCTGCTGTGAAGCTTATTTCTCCTAAACAGGTTATGTAGAAAATATAAAACTATCATGGATTTGGAAATAGTTAACAGCAAACTTAAAATGTAAAACCTACTTCTGTCCTTCAGTCATAATAAAATTAATTTTAAATAAATAAAAGTTTTATTCATGTACATTTTATATACACTTTGTACAATAGTCAGTCTTGGCTAAGCTAACTTAACCTTGCTTACAACTGCTAGCTGCATCCTTCTTTGGGCGTTTCAGCCTTTTCTGCCATCTGTGATTCTCAACTGGGTCTTTTTTTCTATGGGACAATATTTACATCCAGAGAGTGAGCTGTTACTTTTAACAAATCTAATGAACACATTAGAGTCGTCTTCCTGTTGGATTAAAATTATTCTTTGAGTTCATCCCTAGGGAAATCTGTACTTTTTCTTGTATAACCGTACAATCTTTAGATCTAAATTCGAGGATAATGAAACCCCAGCGTAAGTCACATGGTGCTTAGTTCATGGACATTTCATACACTAAAAACAACCATAACACAGGGCAACCAAAAAAAAATGTTTCATTGTTCTGTAAACTTTCATCAGTCCTTCAGTGTTCAAGGCAGATTACAGATCAAGACAAATTTTTGATCGTTGATCTTTAGACAATAAAACTGAAAAACTGCATGTTTAGCCCTAGCTTAAAATATGCTAACTGTAAATGTACACATGTCATAAACTGTGTTGAGGCCTTAGTGAGGAAACCATTGAGTTTTAGGAGTGCATTATTAAAAGTGAGCTCATTATTTTGGGTTTCTGTTTTACTAATGACAAAATAAATGTGAGCATTGTGGTCATATAGTCCCGCTAGATGAAACACTGGAAATATTCGGATACATGATGAAGATGATGATGTCATGCCTCTGGGCATTTTGTTCTCTCTCACATCAAATACTTAGAAATGAGTCCCAGCACGCTTTTGTTTCTGCCTTGCCTCCTTGATGTATTTACGCAATACATAATACTGAAAATGTAATGAATGACTCTGAGGCATACAAATCTTTAACCGCTGCGTGGTGTGTATGTATTTATGAAAGTTTGATTGATGTTGGTAAGTCACTGAATGGCCCATTCATGAACCAGATGTGGGCCAGGCACAGTGTGAATACACACAGGCTTCAGTTGGCAGTGCTGTGTAAATATGGATTAAAAAAATCTTCGCATCAGTGACTCTTTTCAGGTTCGAACACATCAAATCACTCCACCAATCACCAACAGTGTAGAAGACAGAATACAAAAGATATGAAAGGTGTACCGACGTTTAGAAATTCCCATGTTTGAAACCAAGAAACCAAAGGCAACTTTGGTTTACTTTGTCTCAGAAAAGCGTTATCCACGAGATATCCAGTGTGCAACTCTCCGTAGGTCAAACCAAAGATCTGCTCTGACTGGGCTACACTCAAAAGAGATCCATCAAAGCTCCTCTTCGGATAATTTAGATGTATGTTTGGGTCCTTTCAAATTCCTTTCCATTTTCAGCATTCGTTGCTTTTTTCTGTTACCATTTTGCCTTTCCTTTGAAATCTTCGATAATTTTGTAATTTGTACGACAAAAGCAACACTTTTGTAAATTAATATTATCATATTATGGCTAGTTATTTTTGAGGTACTTTCTGGTTTATTTGGCCAAACTTAGCTTTCCTCAATATCTTTTTTGTGTGTGTCAGATTTCTGTTTAATTTAGGGATAGTTATGCCATATTTGTACCTCAAATACTGAATCACCATTTATACCACTTAACAGAACAACAATTCTGTTAAGCTATTTTGAAAATAGCTACTTTATTGACTGTAAGTCATAAAGTGCAGATTCATTTTCTAATTTAAAAATGTGTATTTTTGGCCCAAACACAATAAAAATGCATTCTTGTTCTTTGACCTAATGCACAGCAGAAAGATTAGATTTAAAGAATGTATCCTGAAGTAAAAGGCTTAAGCACATTGAGTAAAATGCAGTGCAATGTTCCATTTGGCCCGACTTGTATATCTAAACGGATATCACTGTTTTAAACAGGAAACTATTTGGCATGCTGTGAGAGGGGCAAAATAATCTGTGTTTATGTTTTTAGCCATTATCAAGAAACTAAAGTATTTCTACTTGATAAAAACTAGCCTGTATATTTAGTCTTTTTTTTTTTTTTTTTTTTTTTTTTTTTGGACTCACAATTACACTTTTTTGAATCAGGGATTAGGGGTAATTTATTGTTTATTGAACAAATGTCCTCTAATAAAAAAAAAGCATTTGCTTTTACACAACTGACTATATAATATATAACGTCCTCATCACTTTGTCTTCAACTGTCAATTTTTTGACAGACAAAAGAAGATGCGATCCCGAAGCAACAGTCTGGAGGAAATTAACAAGGCCAAGCCAGTGCATCAGCAGCAGCAGCCACAGTCAGACACACGGAAGCGATGTGCAGCCGATCGTGAGGAGCCCTCAGGGAGGGCGGAGCGCCGCAGTCGTCACCATGAACCACCCGATGACACCGGCACAGTTCAGCGGAACCACAAGATGACAAAGAACAGTAACTGCGCCAGTGGAAACGGAGGCAGCAGCACAGGTTCTGCCATAAAAGGAGGTCGAAGAGAGAAGGGCAAGGACCTCTCCAGAGATGACCTGGTTTTTCTGCTGAGCTTATTGGAGGGAGAGCTACAGGTAAACACAGTACAGATGTGCATCAAATGCATGATCAACCTGGACAAGGGCTGAAACATCTTCCTGTCCTTTTACACCCAAAGATTCACCTGACAGTTTCCTCTGACTCAGGATTCCCAAACTCTGAGACATCAAATTTAAGACACTAGATTCATTTTTTTATTTTAATTTACTGGGATATTTCTCAATAATCGAACTGTCTTTTTCATTTCAGGCCAGAGATGAAGTGATTACAGTACTAAAGGCAGAGAAAATTGATCTGGCCCTGTTGGAGGCTAAATACGGCTTTGTCACGCCACAGAAAGTCCTACAGGCCTTACAGAGAGACGCCATTCAGGGGAAGCCTGAAGACTTTCAGGAGGACATCTATGAGAAGCCCATGATAGAGGTAAAAATCTGCATTCATATTGAGTGTCATCAACACAAAAGTCGATGAACTAAAAATAGGGAGAACTTTATTCTACATCATTTTACAGTTGGATAAGTTGGTAGACAAGCAGAGGGAGACACACCGAAGGATGCTCGAGCAGCTGCTGATGGTGGAGCAGTCACACAAACAGGCCCTGTACAAGCTGGAGAATGAGAAGAGGAACCACGGAGAGTTCATGAAGAAGAGTGATGAGTTCACCAACCTGCTGGAGCAGGAACGGGAAAGGTTAGTGCATCCCAAGGTGGACACAAGGTCGAAGTCAAACAAAAGTGTCTGGCCCAGCACTCAAACAGTAGCATTTGGCCCACCAACAGTGCAAATACAGGAAGCCGAAAGACAACACGACATACTGAAGGTGGGCCACTAAAATCCATGATTTGTTAGGGATATATACATTACATATGTGTGTATGTGTGTGTATCTATATGCAGGTAAAAACATATGGGTTATCAAAGCACCAGGATAGGCTTTTTTACGTATATCTATGGGCCAGAGCAGTAACACATACTGTATCTAGATCTGTTCTTTAGAGATGGTTGATGTCCAGGTTTTGTATGTTTTACACAAATGGACACAAAGCAAATGAAGGCAAGTACTGAAGGATCTTAGTAATAACTTTAGAAAACCAAATTCTACAGCAAACACACTGTAATAAATTCCAATTAATTTAGAATAACTAATCTGGATTTATATTACCAATTGACTTGTCTTTCTAAAGTCGTCCCCCTATAAAAATGCACAGACAGGATTTATTATAGCATGGACTTATTTTGATTTTTAAAAATACATATAATAATTAATAACCTGAAAAGTATTGGCCCACAAGTAGAGGCTGTGGTTCCCCCAATTCGTTTAGTCATCAACTGTGGTATACTACGAAGAAAATAGCTCTTTGAACAAGCCGGAATAAACCATGGCCACAAACCTGGACATAACAGCTGCTACAGTAATATGAATCCTAAAATGTCTCAAACACACAGAATCAGGGCACTTCTGGGTTTCAAAACCAGGGTCTGCTACAGATACTGGAGTCCTCATAATATAAATGTTGAAGATCTGTAAAAATATTTCACAGTCCTACATTTTGTGAAGGTTAGTTTTTCTGCATATTCATTCCGTTAAGGTGCAATTGTCTTTAAAGAAGTAGAAAATGATACAAGTCAATCGGTGGTCCGGTAGATTTCAGCTCAAGTCCCTGAATTGTAATCACTTAGCAGTAGAGTGTACTAACTCAAACAAATGTCATTAAAACACCTCAGTAAACTTCTGTTCAAGCAGCACATGTTCTAACATGATATATTACTATCATGTATGAGTCTTTGCGCTGAAGACCTGGAGGTGAACATGTAATCAAGGCTGCCGCCAGCAAAAAGAAACAGAGCATCCCTAAGGGAGCTAAAGTAAACACCGTTTCAGTCTTTTTACCAGAGTAAAAGTACAACCCCCGGAGTTTGTTCAGCAGCTTCTGTTTTACTCTGCTCTTTTTCCAAAACATTATTACAGAGGGTGCGAAGAACTGCAAAGCCCAATAAGCATTGACTTTTCATGGGAAAAGCCATTTTTCACCTGGTTGGATGGAACTGAAACTGGACTTAATGTTGCAGAAGGGCAGCATGATAGGGATTTACACCAGTTTTTATTCCCTTCCTAAAAAAGAATACAATCAAGGTACCAATAACCTTGTAGGGGTTGTAGTTCAGATGTTGAGGGTTACACCTGCTAATGAAATGAAAACATATTTAAAGAAACCAGCAGGACATTACTCATCTTTAAAAATGTCAAAAGTACTGTTCTGTAGATGGGATGTTTGCTTGGCTAACTTGCCTGAAGTCCACTTTTTCTAATAATGAAAATGTCTGGCACTTCATGAAAGGGAGAACAGACTCGTGTGTCTTTAAAACATCAAGAAAAGACAAAAATTTACTTGGCAAAACATTATAATTAATATCCTGAGCTCTCAGAGAGAAAACTGGAAGAGAGAACTCTTGAACCCTGTCTGATTAATTGTCATTCATAGCATGTATTCATTAAATGATGACCTCATCACGTGGCAGGTACTGAACTGGCCGAGCAGCAGTGGTGTGAGAGTGAAAGCGACATCGTAACCCTTAGCACATGTTCAAACATGACTGCAGCTGCACTACAACGGGACATACGCTCGCCTTCTTTTCAAGAAACACCAAAGAAGAACCATCTGTGTGCTTTGATTTTATCAAAGTATTAAAAAAATATAACCTACTATAATATATCATGTGATGATGTCATTAGGGTACTAAAACATACAAGGCAGGAATCATATGCTTGGGTATTTTTCTCATCAAGTCCCACTATGAAACCTCACATGCATGCTGTCATCTGCAGATGACAGCGGGAACCATGAATACCACAACTCTGATGATGTAATCCTAGTTTTTGTAACACACATGGGATCAGTTTATACTGAAGGAAAGAGAAGACCTTGAAACTCTGGTCCCTATATGTAAAAGTCTACAGAGTTGTTCGGTCATGACCCAGTTTTTTTATGAAGCACTCAATTTTACTGGGCTAAGCAGTAGGTCCAGGACTCATGACTTGAGTTTGACTCTTGTTCAGCTTGTGGCTAGAAATCCTGTAGACTTAACTCATTTCAAACATAATGTCTGTGATTTGAATTTAAAACTAAAACTTAGTTTCTTAGACTCTGGAGATTCAACATAGACTTTTTGCACAAATAACTGATTTGTACTTAATTTCAAAACACTGTGGCAAACAGACTGTTTGTTTAGCAAACAGACTGAAAACCTTGGAATTCAAACTGCACATCGTGTAAAGTTGTTTCAGGGTTATGGACTTGGATGATAAAACCTTGGAACATGGATTGGCATGTAATAATAATGATTCTGACAATTGTTAAACTTGCTTATATTATAATACAGCTGTATTAATAGTCAGGGATAAAAACCATCATGGAAAGGTATGCTGATTTATTAACACTTTTTTTTTTAACATTTCACAAACCTTATTGTTTCCCGACACATGGGCCTATAAAGTATCTTCATACTGAGATCCTGAGCTTCCCAACACCACGCTTGCAAATGAAATAGGTTCCAGTAATTTCATGACTCACACAAATTAGATGTACTTTCCACTGAAAGTCGAAAGTATTGTAATTTTCTTCGTCACTCTTCTTGCACAATGCATTTGGCCCTCTTTTTGCCACGCCCCCAAAGTAACAAAATTGAAATGGAAACAACAAAACTACGTGGTGGGAAAAAAAAAAAAAAGAAAACTTCTTGCAGATAATAACTTGAAAGAGCGTTGATGTAATGTACTGGCACAGTAAGTGATAATCACTGTTTGGAGCATTTTAAATGCAGATAAAAGCACAGTGACTGTGAGCACAGAACCACATGACCCGTCTTCCTGCTCTTAATGATTAGCAGTATATGTTCATGCCATCTGGTTGACTTAACTGCAGCAGTGGTGGTGGTGGTGTTGGTGGTGACATCACTCATGTGGATTTGATGGAGAACATTCCTTCACGATGCCCTCATCATCACTAAGATGCTTATTATCCAGACCTGCCCTGTTCTGAAATGAAAGACAGCCGTGTGTGTGTGTGTGTGTGTTTTGGGAAGCTGAGTTTCCTGATTACTGGTGATCACAGTTCCTGCTTCAGCAAGATACAGCAAAAGCAGAACAAATAAAATAAAGAAAATGTAAAGGTTCTACACCTTTTTGGGACAATATATTGTCTATTTTTCATATATGGTTTTGCTTATTTTTGTAATTTTTTATTCTATATTTTATCAACATTAATCTTTTCATCGTTAGCTTTTACAGTTGTGATAAACCCTTAAAACTTTGGCTCCATCCATGGAGTGGTCAATGAATAGATCAGGACCTGCCAGAAGATTGTTACTATTTATTCTGAACCAAGTCTTTTCTAACTTTAGATAATATTTGGTTATTGGAAAACTGTAGCTTAAGTAAAGTGTGCAGTAGTATAGAATCTGACCGAGTTCTGTAGAAATATGTACCTACAGTACACATGTACCAACAACTACATGAGCAGGATCTGTCTTCACCACTACACCTTCAAAGTACTATGTGTCAGAAAGGAGACATAAAGTTTGCCTCATTCATCAAGTTTACCTGACAATCAGTTGCTGAATTTCTAGCAAAGGATTTTAGAAAGTCTTTCACAACTCTGAAGGCACCTGCAATTCAACCCGGAATGTTTTTTCCGTTCATATCTAGGGGCATGTGTTACATTCTTTCAGAGTCAGTTGGAGTATTTGCTGTGATAAGTGGGGCGGTAAATAATGTATGTGGTAGCAGTGCAGAGAAGTCTGGTCAGTCTTAAACCTAAAATATATTCTAGACACTGTTAGATGGGGAAAACACGATGGTAGTGCAAAGTACGCACCTCGAAAGAGCAATGATGTTTAACATTTCCTTATTTGGACAGAAAATAATAATCCTCAGACTGACTCTTGCATGTTTTATGTACAGTACATGACGTTATTGGGTATATTTGCATTAGTGATCAGCAGACAGGATCCTGTGTCCAGGTCAGAAATCACACAAATATGACACATTTAGCAACATCCTCCCAACACAACACATGACATACACTAACCTCTTTACCCTCCTTTAGAACACGTGCCTCATCGCCACACAATCAGCACAGCTCTGTTTTGACAAGACATTTCACTAACTGTATGTCATTTTTCTATGTGAACTCTATAATGGAAAATGTCTGAATGATTTTTATGGCTTGACGCTGATAGAGAACCTGGAATTTTGTGTATCAGGTTGGGGGTGATAAAAAAAAAATAGAAACAGAAAAGTTCTGGTAAATGAGACGATTGTTCCGAGAAGAGGAGAAAGTACAATGGGTGACTTGTGTATGATATTTGTGATGTTGTTTCACAGAGAGAAACATCTTGCAATGATGATGATGTGAATGCAGTCTGAGATCACGTAGCGTCATATGTTAAAATATGTTACTCAGTGGGTTCATCAGCACGTACTCCACCATCTCTCCTGCTGACCTGATCTGGGCCCTTCAGCCAACACTTCCTCTTTTGTCACTTACTTGTGTATTTGTTGTATAACCTGATACCTGTCATGGCTTGTGGACTGGCTTTTGAACCAAGCTATTACTAGTGATATATTTCAATTAAAGCCTGCTGCCAAGACCATTAACTACATGTTCCATGAAATGGTTAAAGACCAGCTTT